TGAGGCTCACGCGATGACACGGGTTCGGTTAACGTTTCGGCAAAACTAAAGAATATATAAATGTGTCTGTATATACCTGTCAACTCCTGATCAGTGTCCCACCTCATCACAGCTGTCAGCTCCTGATCAGTGTCCCACCTCATCACAGCTGTCAACCCCTGATCAGTGTCCCACCTCATCACAGCTGTCAACTCCTGATCAGTGTCCCACTTCATCACAGCTGTCAGCTCCTGATCAGTGTCCCACCTCATCACAGCTGTCAACCCCTGATCAGTGTCCCACCTCATCACAGCTGTCAACTCCTGATCAGTGTCCCACCTCATCACAGCTGTCAACTCCTGATCAGTGTCCCACTTCATCACAGCTGTCAGCTCCTGATCAGTGTCCCACTTCATCACAGCTGTCAGCTCCTGATCAGTGTCCCACCTCATCACAGCTGTCAACTCCTGATCAGTGTCCCACCTCATCACAGCTGTCAGCTCCTGATCAGTGTCCCACCTCATCACAGCTGTCAACTCCTGATCAGTGTCCCACCTCATCACAGCTGTCAACTCCTGATCAGTGTCCCACCTCATCACAGCTGTCAGCTCCTGATCAGTGTCCCACCTCATCACACCTAATCTAGATTTGAAGCTGTCGTGACTGCAGAAATCCACACTGTCTGTCAACCATTACTCCAGACCAATTCAGATCTTATTGGTCAACCCGTGGCCCCCTTACAAATCTCAAAGTGTCATCCTACAAAGTCCCATCACAAGGTAGAAAACACAAACAAATAGACACTGTATATTTGTGTTATACCTATTGAAACGGCTGTACACCGCATGGATCTACAAACTCAATTTTCCCTGTAACAAGAATTAAGGCCTAAACCTTGCGGGCTTGGACAAAGATGTCATGGAATGGAACAAAAAAAATGAATCCGCGTTAGGATTAATGATCCGTAATAGGGGAGGTTTTTGTTTGGGATTGGGTTAAGATCCGTCCATAAATGACGTCACGCGATTTTGGACGATTTTTGACCCCCCCCCCTCAAATATGACGTCATAAAGATCTGCCCCCCCCCCCTCCTCCCCACCCAAAAAAATAAAACATGCTTCAAATATTAATTTAAAGCTTTCGTGACTGCAGGGATTCATATTCTTGGTTCTTTCGGTAAAGTCACCACCACGTAGAAGGGAAACAATAAAATAATAAAAATATAAAACAATAAAATTATTGTAAAACAATACAATTATTATTCTTGGTTCATTCGGTAAAGTTACCACCATGTAGAAGAGAAACAATAAAATAATACAAAATATTTTCTTGTTTCTACGTGACTTTACCGAAAGCTTTAAACTATTGTCATTGTAGTGCGTATTTAATGTGGCGCTGCACTCTGATGTTGTAGGACCAAAAAACTAAATATTAAAAAGTCTATTTAATTAAGTAGAACGTGTTGTCTGTATTCATTTAAAGTCTATTTAATTAAGTAGAACGTGTTGTCTGTATTTATGTAAAGTATATTTAATTAAGTAGAACGTGTTGTCTGTATTTATGTAAAGTCTATTTAATTAAGTAGAACGTGTTGCCAGTATTTATTTATTTCAAAGTTGCACATTTTGATGTGACGTCACATTTCTCACCCCCCCCTCACGTCACACATCGTCACAAATATCTGACCCCGCCCCCTAGGTGAGTGACGTCATTTATGGACGGCCCCTAACCCAACAAACGTCAACTACTACGACTACTACTGCGACGACTGCGTGTAAGAACCAACGAGACATCATTGTGTTTAGTAATTACTGCAACGGGAATCGAACGACAACGATTGACCCCTGGGGCGTGGTTCGAACCGGGACATTTTGAATAGAATTTTGTTTTCGTGCTTGCAGACGGCGCTACCATCAACTACCACGAACCACAGCGAGGCAACGTCTTTGATTAGAATCACAAGGTCACTCGGACAATAAAATCAATCACCTTTTCATATTGGTTGTTCCGACCACCCCCCCCACACCACACCGTGCAACCCCACGTGATTGATTTTGTCAGTTCGATCACCGATTTCCCTCGTAGAGAAGAAGTGACGAGACGAAGCTCCCCCGAATAGCCTTCAGACTGTAGGGGGCAAGTGCCTTTAGCGAGTAGCAGCAGCTATGAAGGCCGGCACGGCACGCGAGGAGGGTGGGTGGCCAGCACCACGCCCGGCCGCCTTTGTCTCTTACTGCACACAGCACCGGGTTACTCATTTGAGGCTGAGTCGACCTAGGGGAGGCCCGGGACCGGTTCAGATAATCGTCACTGGTGGTGTTGGCCGTGAGCGGGAATCGAACCCGGGTTGCCGGGTTCGTAGCGCAGCGTAGTGCTCATCGCTACGCCACCACTCCCCGCACACACACAGTGACACACACACATTGACACACACACATTGACACACACACATTCACGCACACACACAACAACCGCCATTCGCCACTAAGTGGCGGTGACGTCACCACGACGCTTGTGCCAGGCCATGTGCACCTTGAGGCCACGTGAAGTGTCGAACGCCCGCTGGCAGGTCACGGGGCAGACCCAGGTGCCACGGGTCGACTGAGACTACTGGCTGATGCACCACCTGTGCCCCCTACTGTGCCAACCTGCTGTGCTTTAGCCACCCGGCGCTCCGCTCGTTGTTGTGAGCGTCGCTCCTCCGCCCTCCGTTGTTGTTGGAGGGCGACTGCCTCCAACTGCCCAGTAGCATCCTTCACGAGCCTCCTCCACAGAGGCCGACCTTGACACCGCTGGTACCAGTCATCGGCAAGTCCACTCAGCTCCACGTCCTCCTGTACCACATCACTCCATCTCTTCTCTAGCCCGTGCCGCGCCCGCTTAGCCCCCTCGATCCGGCCGAACAAAAGCTGTTTCGGCATGCGGTGGCTGGGCATGCGGGCTACATGACCCACACACACACATTCACGCACACACACACATTCACGCACACACACACATTCACGCACACACACATTCACACAAACACACACATTCACACACACATTCACACACACACAAACACACACATATTCACACACTCACACACACAAACACACACATATTCACACACATTCACACACACTCACACACACATACACACATTCACACACACTCACACACACATTCACACACACACATACACACACTCACACACACTCACACACATACATACACTCACACATACACGCATACACACACACACAAACACACACATACACACACTCACACACACGCCCATGCTATCGCTGTGGAAACGTTGAAACTTTTTTCTTGTGGACGGAATCCGCCCGTGACTGCTTTGTCCACACATCCCAGCAGCAGAATCAGCGGGTTGCGAGGGGGCGTGTCGTAAGGGCGTGGCTAAAGTGTTTGGCTCCACCCCTCTCGCCCGGGTAGCTCCGCCCACTCCCCCACCCACAACTGGGTGTGTAGGTGTGTGTGTAGGTGTGTGTGAAGGTGTGTGTGTGTGTATAGGTTTATGTGTAGGTGTGTGTGTAGGTGTGTGTGTAGGTGTGTGTGTAGGGGTGTGTGTGTAGGGGTGTGTGCTTGCAACCCGTTGTGACGGTGGTGGTGAGGGTGACGGTGGTGGTGGTAACGGTGGTGGTGGTGAGGGTGATGACGGTGGTGGTGAGGTTGATGGTGGTGGTGGTGATGGTGGTGGTGAGGGTGATGGTGGTGAGGGTGGTGGTGGTGACGGTGGTGGTGAGGGTGGTGAGGGTGGTGACGGTGGTGGTGGTAACGGTGGTGGTGGTAACGGTGGTGGTGGTGACGGTGGTGGTGGTGACGGTGGTGGTGGTAGCGGTGGTGGTGGTGAGGGTGATGGTGGTGATGGTGGTGGTGGTGGCGGCGAGGGTGGTGATGGTGGTGAGGGTGGTGATAGTGGTGGTAACGGTGGTGGTGGTGACGGTGGTGGTGGTGACGGTAGTGGTGGTGAGGGTGGTGGTAGTGGTGGTGAGGGTGGTGATGGTGGTAACGGTGGTGGTAACGGTGGTGGTGGTAACGGTCGTGGTGGTGGTGATGGTGGTGGTGGCGAGGGTGGTGGTGGTGACGGTGGTGGTGACGGTGGTGGTAGTGGTGGTGAGGGTGGTAACGGTGGTGGTGGTGAGGGTGGTGGCGAGGGTGATGGTGGTAACGGTGGTGGTGGTGGTGAGGGTGGTGGTGGTGATGGTGGTGGTGGTGATGGTGGTGGTGGTGATGGTGGTGGTGGTGGGCGGCCGGAGTGGGCAGTGAGGCAGCGGCTGTCGGCGTCGCCACGGACGCGGCGATAATCATAACCTGGTGTAAAAATAATCTACAACATAATCTACAAAAGAGGAAATAAAACGTCGAGTCGATTAAAAATTGACGATCGGAAGCTCCCCCCCTAACCCCCCCCCCCCCCCGCCGCCGCCATCTCTCCAAGGGTCACCGGCGGCAACTGAGGAAGGGCCCCCCCCCCTCCATCCCTTCATCTCAACTACATCCACAACATCATCAATAAACCGATATTTGTCAAAGGGCCCCCCCCCCCCCCCCCTTCATTTACCGGCTGCTACGCACGGCCGAGGATCGACGCTTAAAGTGTCGCCGTACCCCCAAGGCCATCCGCCATCTTCTCCGATCCCCACAACCCCCCCCCACCACCACTCTCTCTCGCTCACTCGCTCACTCTCTCATTCACTCTCTCATTCACTCTCTCATTCACTCTCTCATTCACTCACTCATTCACTCACTCATTCACTAACTCACTCACTAACTCTCGCTCACTCGCTCACTCTCTCAGTCACTCATTCACTCATTCACTCTCTCATTCACTCTCTCGCTCTCTCTCTCTCATTCACTATAACTCACTCACTCACTCTCGCTCACTCATTCACTCTCTCACTCTCTCACTCACTCACTCACTCTCTCACTCACTCACTCACTCTCTCACTCTCTCATTCACTCTCTCTCATTCACTCACTCATTCACTAACTCATTCACTAACTCACTCACTCTCTCTCGCTCACTCTCTCAGTCACTCACTCATTCACTCTCTCTCTCATTCACTCACTCATTCACTAACTCACTCTCTCATTCACTCTCTCACTCACTCACTCACTCTCGCTCACTCACTCTCTTACTCACTCACTCACTCTCTCACTCTCTCGCTCACTCACTCTCTCATTCACTCTCTCACTCGCTCACTCTCTCACTCACTCTCTCACTCACTCTCTTATTCACTATCTCACTCTCTCACTCACTCTCTCACACTCTCCCACTCTCTCACTCACTCTCTCTCTCTCTCTCACTCACTCTCTCTCTCTCATTCACTATCACTCACTCACTCGCTCTCTCGCTCTCTCACTCTCTCACTCACTCTCTCACACTCTCACTCACTCACTCACTCTCTCACTCGCTCACTCGCTCTCTCACTCGCTCACTCTCTCACTCTCTCACTCACTCTCTCTCTCTCATTCACTATCACTCACTCTCTCTCGCTCACTCACTCTCTCACTCGCTCACTTGCTCTTTCACTCGCTCACTCTCTCACTCTCTCACTCGCTCTTTCACTCGCTCACTCTCTCACTCACTCTCTCACTCACTCTCCCACTCTCTCACTCACTCTCTCACACTCTCACTCTCTCACTCACTCACTCTCTCACTCGCTCCGCCACCACCGCCAATCCCGTCCAGGTCTCAAAACTCCCCACCACCACCCCGCCGCCGCCGCCGCCGCCCCCGGCCGAGACTCCGCGCGGCCTCCTGCCGATGGTCCCGTGTCCTCGGCCAGCCCCCGCGCCCACCGGGGGTCTAGGCGGGGGCCGCGGCTCCGCTAGTGGCAGTGCTCGGTGATGTCCACCACCACCGCCTTGCGCCAGCTGAACAGGAAGTAGCCGGCGCCAGCGCCCAGCGCCACGGCGCCGCACAGGTAGCCGTTGTAGGTCATGAAGACGAGCATCAGGAAGTAGGAGAGCACCACCTGCAGCACGTGCAGCGCCGTCTGCAGCACGTGCGGCAGGCTGCACATCCGCTGCCTGGAGGGCACGCGGGGGAGGGGGGTGGGGTGAGAGGGGGAGGTGGTGGAGGAGTGAGGAGGTGGAGGAGTGAGGAGGTGGAGGAGTGAGGAGGTGGAGGAGTGAAAAGGTGGAGGAGTGAGGAGAGAGGGAGGTGGATGAGTGAGGAGGTGGAGTGAGGAGGTGGAGTGAGGAGGTGGAGTGAGGAGGTGGAGTGAGGAGGTGGAGGAGTGAGGAGAGAGGGAGGTGGAGCGAGTGAGGAGGTGGAGTGAGGAGGTGGACTGAAGAGGTGGAATGAGGAGTGAGGAGAGAGGGAGGTGGACGAGTGAGGAGGTGGAGGAGTGAGGAGGTGGAGGAGTGAGGAGGTGGAGGAGTGAGGAGGTGGAGGAGTGAGGAGAGAGGGAGGCGTGAGGAGAGAGGGAGGTGGACGAGTGAGGAGGTGGAGGAGTGAGGAGAGAGGGAGGTGGATGAGTGAGGAGGTGGAGTGAGGAGGTGGAGTGAGGAGGTGGAGTGAGGAGGTGGAGTGAGGAGGTGGAGGAGTGAGGAGAGAGGGAGGTGGAGCGAGTGAGGAGGTGGAGTGAGGAGGTGGACTGAAGAGGTGGAGTGAGGAGTGAGGAGAGAGGGAGGTGGACGAGTGAGGAGGTGGAGGAGTGAGGAGGTGGAGGAGTGAGGAGGTGGAGGAGTGAGGAGGTGGAGGAGTGAGGAGAGAGGGAGGCGTGAGGAGAGAGGGAGGTGGACGAGTGAGGAGGTGGAGGAGTGAGGAGAGAGGGAGGTGGACGAGTGAGGAGGTGGACGAGTGAGGAGGTGGACGAGTGAGGAGGTGGAGTGAGGAGGTGGAGGAGTGAGGAGAGAGGGAGGTGGACGAGTGAGGAGGTGGAGGAGTGAGGAGGTGGAGTGAGGAGGTGGAGGAGTGAAGAGGTGGAGCGAGGAGGTGGAGGAGTGAGGAGAGAGGGAGGTGGACGATTGAGGAGGTGGAATGAGGAGGTGGACTGAAGAGGTGGAGTGAGGAGTGAGGAGAGAGGGAGGTGGTGGAGTGAGGAGGTGGAGTGAGGAGGTGGAGGAGTAAGGAGAGAGAGGTGGACGAGTGAGGAGGTGGAGTGAGGAGGTGGAGTGAGGAGGTGGAGTGAGGAGGTGGAGTGAGGAGGTGGACGAGTGAGGAGCTGGAGGAGTGAGGAGAGAGGGAGGTAGAGTGAGGAGGTGGAGGAGTGAGGTGGAGGAGTGAGGAGGTGGAGTGAGGAGGTGGAGTGAGGAGGTGGAGTGAGGAGGTGGAGGAGTGAGGAGGTGGAGTGAGGAGGTGGAGTGAGGAGGTGGAGTGAGGAGGTGGAGGAGTGAGGTGGAGGAGTGAGGAGGTGGAGTGAGGAGGTGGCGTGAGGAGGTGGAGTGAGGAGGTAGAGTGAGGAGGTGGAGTGAGGAGGTGGAGGAGTGAGGTGGAGGAGTGAGGAGGTGGAGTGAGGAGGTGGAGTGAGGAGGTGGAGTGAGGAGGTGGAGGAGTGAGGTGGAGGAGTGAGGAGGTGGAGTGAGGAGGTGGAGTGAGGAGGTGGAGTGAGGAGGTGGAGGAGTGAGGTGGAGGAGTGAGGTGGAGGAGTGAGGAGGAGGTGGAGTGAGGAGGTGGAGTGAGGAGGAGGGAAGGGAGAGCGGTGGTGGAGGGTGGGGGGTGATGGCCCAACAGGGTGGACAGTGGGAGGGTGACGTTGGACTCGCACGCGGTGAGGCGCGGTGAGGCGTGGTGAGGCGCGGTGAGGCGCGGTGAGGCACGGTGAGGCACGGTGAGATCCGGTGAGACACGGTGAGGCGTGGTGAGGCACGGTGAGGCACGGTGAGGCACGGTGAGACGCGGTGAGACGCGGTGAGGCACGGTGAGGCGCGGTGAGGCGCGGTGAGGCGCGGTGAGGCGCGGTGAGGCACGGTGAGGCGCGGTGAGGCACGGTGAGGCGTGGTGAGGCACGGTGAGGCGCGGTGAGACGCGGTGAGGCACGGTGAGGCACGGTGAGGCGCGGTGAGGCACGGTGAGGCGCGGTGAGGCACGGTGAGGCGCGGTGAGGCACGGTGAGGCACGGTGAGGCGCGGTGAGGCACGGTGAGGCGCGGTGAGGCACGGTGAGGCGCGGTGAGACACGGTGAGGCACGGTGAGGCGCGGTGAGGCACGGTGAGGCGCGGTGAGACACGGTGAGGCACGGTGAGGCACGGTGAGGCACGGTGAGGCGCGGTGAGGCACGGTGAGGCACGGTGAGGCGCGGTGAGGCACGGTGAGGCGCGGTGAGGCACGGTGAGGCACGGTGAGGCACGGTGAGGCGCGGTGAGGCACGGTGAGGCACGGTGAGGCGCGGTGAGACACGGTGAGGCACAGTGAGGCGCGGTGAGGCACGGTGAGGCGCGGTGAGGCGCGGCCGCTCACCCCACGGTCTTGTGCGTCTCCATGACAGTGGTCCCGTGCTGTCCCGGCAGCGGCATGCTGTTGTAGCGGACGTTCACCTGGGATCTGCGGAGCAGCGTCTCACGGAAGATCTTCAGCCCCTCGTAGGCCGCAGCCAGCAGGAAGACGGCTAAGCAGCTGCCAACCATGCCTGGGGGGGGGGGGGCAGGGGGAAGGGGGGGGGGAGGGGGGGAGGGGGGGGAGAGGGTTTGTCCCACGACCTGCACCTAGCCTGGCACAGCAGTGAACCCACGGCACCTGGGGTCTGTTACGCCACCCGAGTTTGATTCCCGCTTGCGGTCGCCGGAAAAAAAACAACCACCAAAACTTCTCACACAGACACAGCACACAGACACAGCAGACACAGCACACAGACACAGCACACAGACACAGACACACAGCAGACACAGACACACACACAGACACAGCACACAGTACACAGTACACAGACACAGCACACAGACACAGCACACAGACACAGCACACAGACACACACACAGCACACAGACACAGCACACAGACACAGCACACAGCAGACACAGCACACAGCACACAGACACAGACACACAGACACACAGCACACAGACACAGCACGCAGACACAGCACACAGACACAGCACACAGCACACAGACACAGCACACAGCACGCAGACACAGCACACAGACACAGCACGCAGACACAGCACACAGACACAGCACACAGACACAGCACAGAGACACAGCACACAGACACAGCGCACAGACACAGCACACAGACACACACAGACACAGCACACAGACACACACAGACACAGCAGACACAGCACGCAGACACAGCACACAGCACACAGACACAGCACACATCACACAGACACAGCGCACAGACACAGCGCACAGCACACAGACACAGCACACAGACACAGCACACAGACACAGCATGCAGACACAGTACGCAGACACAGCACACAGCACACAGCCACAGCAGACACAGCACACAGACCACAGACAGCACACAGACACAGCACACAGACACAGCACACAGACACAGCACACAGACACAGCACACAGACACAGCACGCAGACACAGCACGCAGACACAGCACACAGACACAGCACACAGACACAGCACACAGACACAGCGCACAGAGACAGCACACAGACACAGCACACAGACACAGCACACAGACACAGCACGTAGACACAGCACACAGACCACAGACACAGCACACAGACACAGCACGCAGACACAGCACACAGACACAGCACACAGACACAGCACGCAGACACAGCACACAGACACAGCACACAGACCACAGACACAGCACACAGACACAGCACACAGACACAGCACACAGCACACAGACCACAGACACAGCACACAGCAGACACAGCATACAGACCACAGACACTCACCTCCCACGGAATTGATAAGCCAGCCGCTGAACAGGACGTTCACGTTGGTGTAGCCAAAGTAGAAAGTCATCACCTGCAGCCACAACAACGGATCGCTAGGGGTCAGCAGTGGCGGTGTGAATGGTGGTGGTGATGATGGTGGTGGTGGCGGCGGTGGTGATGTTGATGGTGACAGTGGTTGTGGTGGTAATGGTGGTGGCGGTGGTGATGGTGGCGGTGGTGATAGTTGCGGTGGTGGTGGTGGCGGTGGTGATGGTGGCGGTGGTGGTGGTGGTGATGGTGGCTGTGGTGGCGGTAGCAGTCGCCAGGTGGTAGTGCATTAGCCGCCTGCCGCCGAGGTTCGCGGTTCGTTTCCGGCAAGGGGGGGGGGGGGAGGGGGGTTACTACCGCGACCCCGGTTACTACCGCGACCCCGGTTACTACCGCGACCCCGGTTGCTACCGGGACCCCGGTTACGGTGAACGTCGTCGGCCCGGAGTGAGGCCACACCGTCGCCGTCCAAATTCTCCGCGTTTCAAAAAAGGAATCTACACCGCTGGGATCACGCAGCAGCTGTAGGATCATCGTGTGTGGTGTGAGCGGTGTGTGTACGGTGTGTGTGGTGTGTACGGTGTGTGTGGTGTGAGCGGTGTGTGTGGTGTGTGTACGGTGTGTGTGGTGTGTACAGTGTGTGTGGTGTGTGCGGTGTGTGTGGTGTGTGCGGTGTGTACGGTGTGTGTGGTGTGTACGGTGTGTACGGTGTGTGTACGGTGTGTGTGGTGTGTACGGTGTGTATAGTGTGTGTGGTGTGTATGGTGTGTACGGTGTGTACGTGGTGTGTACGGTGTGTACGTGGTGTGTAGTGTGTGCAGTGTGTATAGTGTGTGTGGTGTGTATGGTGTGTACAGTGTGTGTGGTGTGTACGGTGTGTGTGGTGTGTACGGTGTGTACGGTGTGTGTGGTGTGAGCGGTGTGTGTGGTGTGTGTGGTGTGTACGGTGTGTACGGTGTGTGGTGTGTGTGGTGTGTACGGTGTGTGTACGGTGTGTGTGGTGTGAGCGGTGTGTGTGGTGTGTGTACGGTGTGTGTGGTGTGAGCGGTGTGTGTGGTGTGTGTACGGTGTGTGTGGTGTGAGCGGTGTGTACGGTGTGTACGGTGAGCAGTGTGTACGGTGTGTATGGTGTGTGGTGTACGGTGTGTATGGTGTGTACGGTGTGTGTGGTGTGTACAGTGTGTGTGGTGTGTACAGTGTGTGTGGTGTGTGTGGTGTGTGTGGTGTGTGCGGTGTACGGTGTGAGCGGTGTGTACGGTGTGTGTGGTGTGTACGATGTGTGTACTGTGTACGGTGTGTACGGTGTGTACGGTGTGTGTGGTGTGTGTGGTGTGTGCGGTGTGTACGGTGTGTGTGGTGTGTGCGGTGTGTACGGTGTGTGTGGTGTGTTACGGTGTGTGTGGTGTGTATGGTGTGTGTGGTGTGTGTGGTGTGTGGTGTGTGTGGTGTGTGCAGTGTGTGTGGTGTGTGTGGTGTGTACGGTGTGTGTACGGTGTGTGTGGTGTGAGCGGTGTGTACGGTGTGTGTGGTGTGTACGGTGTGTGTGGTGTGTACGGTGTGTGTGGTGTGTGTGGTGTGTACGGTGTGTGGTGTGTGTGATGTGTGTGATGTGTGTGGTGTGTATGGTGTGTACGGTGTGTAGGGTGTGTGTGGTGTGTATGGTGTGTACGGTGTGTGGTGTGTGTGTGGTGTGTAGAGTGTGTGTGGTGTGTGTGGTGTGTACGGTGTGTGTGGTGTGTACGGTGTGTACGGTGTGTGTACGGTGTGTGTGGTGTGTGTGGTGTGTGTGTGTGGTGTGTGTGGTGTGTGTGTGTGGTGTGTGTGGTGTGTGTGGTGTGTGTGGTGTGTGTGGTGTGTACAGTGTGTGTGGTGTGTGTGTGGTGTGTGTGGTGTGTGTGGTGTGTGTGTGGTGGGCGTGTGGTGTGTGTGTGTGGTGTGTGTGGTGTGTGTGGTGTGTGTGGTGTGTACAGTGTGTGTGGTGTGTGTGGTGTGTGTGTGGTGTGTGGTGTGTAGTGTGTGTAGTGTGGTGTGTGTGTGGTGTGTGTGTGGTGTGTGTGGTGTGTGGTGTGTGTGGTGTGTGTGGTGTGTGTGGTGTGTGTGTGTGGTGTGTGTGGTGTGTGTGTGTGGTGTGTGTGGTGTGTGTGGTGTGTGTGGTGTGTGTGGTGTGTACAGTGTGTGTGGTGTGTGTGGTGTGTGTGATGTGTGTGGTGTGTATGGTGTGTACGGTGTGTGTGGTGTGTGTGGTGTGTGTGGTGTGTACGGTGTGTGGTGTGTACGGTGTGTGTGGTGTGTGTGTGTGGTGTGTGTGGTGTGTGGGTGGTGTGTGTGGTGTGTGTGGTGTGTGTGGTGTGTACGGTGTGTACGGTGTGTGTGGTGTGTGTGGTGTGTACGGTGTGTTACGGTGTGTTACGGTGTGTTACGGTGTGTACGGTGTGTATAATGTGTACGGTGTGTGGTGTGTGTGGTGTGTGTGGTGTGTTACGGTGTGTTATGGTGTGTTACGGTGTGTATGGTGTGTGGTGTGCACGGTGCCTAAACACGTGGCGTCTGCGCGATCCCGCTCGACCAATCCTCGGTGTAAAACTTTCTCCGCCGAGCGTGGAAGTTCGGCATCGCGACACCGCCGAGCCCACGGTGGGCCCCGGCGTGCCGTGGCCCCCCGGCACGGCGCCGCCGCCGCCGCCGCCGCTCGCTCCGCCACCCCCCGGACGCTTTGGGGGGGGGGGTCGTGGGGGGGGGGGGGGGGCGAGGGGGCGGGCGTCAATACGCACCGCGGCGATAACCGGGGCGGCCTGCCGGATTCGAACCGCGAACCTTCGCGACCGCCGGGGAACGCGCTACCGCCCGGCGTCCGCGCCGTCGCCGCCGGCGTCGGCGCCGCCGGCGTCGGCGCGACGCACCATGCCCATGCCCGAGTGGTCCACGGCTCCCGCGGGGACGCCGTGGCCGCCGACATCTGTGGTCGCCGCGGCCGTCGCCGCGGCAACCGCCGCTCCGTGGTCGCCGTGGGAGTGGTCCATCGAGTGGCCCGAGTGGTCCATCGGGTCGGCCTGGGGGCGGGGAGGGGGCCGGGGGAAGGGGGGGGGTAGGGGGGGGGGGTAGGGGGGGGGGGGCACAGGACCAAGAGAGCGTTCGCTGGAGAGACGGAAATTTGGGGAAAGAAATTACAAAGTTGATCGGAAGGCAGAGACGGCGCGGAGAGGCACAGACTACTCACTCAGAGAGAGAGTCATAGACTACTCACTCAGAGAGTCATAGACTACTCACACAGAGAGCCATAGACTCACTCAGAGAGTCATAGACTCGCACAGAGAGCCATAGACTCACACAGAGAGTCATAGACTCACACAGAGAGTCATAGACTCACACAGAGAGTCATACTCACTCAGAGAGTCATAGACTCACTCAGAGAGTCAAAGACTCACTCAGAGAGTCATAGACTCACTCAGAGAGTCATAGACTCACTCAGAGAGTCAAAGACTCACTTAGAGAGTCATAGACTCACACAGAGAGCCATAGACTCACACAGAGAGCCATAGACTCACACAGAGAGTCATAGACTACTCACACAGAGAGCCATAGACTCACTCAGAGAGTCATAGACTCACACAGAGAGCCATAGACTCACACAGAGAGTCATAGACTCACACAGAGAGTCATAGACTCACACAGAGAGTCATACTCACTCAGAGAGTCATAGACTCACACAGAGAGTCATAGACTCACTCAGAGAGTCATAGACTCACTCAGAGAGTCATAGACTCACTCAGAGAGTCAAAGACTCACTTAGAGAGTCATAGACTCACACAGAGAGCCATAGACTCACACAGAGAGTCATAGACTCACACAGAGAGTCATAGACTACTCACACAGAGAGCCATAGACTCACTCAGAGAGTCATAGACTCACACAGAGAGCCATAGACTCACACAGAGAGTCATAGACTCACACAGAGAGTCATAGACTCACACAGAGAGTCATACTCACTCAGAGAGTCATAGACTCACTCAGAGAGTCAAAGACTCACTCAGAGAGTCATAGACTCACTCAGAGAGTCATAGACTCACTCAGAGAGTCAAAGACTCACTTAGAGAGTCATAGACTCACACAGAGAGCCATAGACTCACACAGAGAGCCATAGACTCACACAGAGAGCCATAGACTACTCACACAGAGAGCCATAGACTCACACAGAGAGCCATAAACTTACACAGAGAGCCATAGACTACTCACATAGAGAGTCATAGACTCACACAGAGAGTCATAGACTCACACAGTCATAGACTACTCACTCAGAGAGTCATAGACTCACACAGAGAGTCATAGACTCACTCAGAGAGTCATAGACTCACACAGAGAGCCATAGACTCACACAGAGAGCCATAGACTACTCACACAGAGAGCCATAAACTTACACAGAGAGCCATAGACTACTCACATAGAGAGTCATAGACTCACACAGAGAGTCATAGACTCACACAGTCATAGACTACTCACTCAGAGAGTCATAGACTCACACAGAGAGTCATAGACTCACACAGAGAGCCATAGACTCACACAGAGAGTCATAGACTCACTCAGAGAGTCATAGACTCACTCAGAGAGTCATAGACTCACACAGAGAGCCATAGACTCACACAGAGAGCCATAGACTACTCACACAGAGAGTCATAGACTCACACAGAGAGTCATAGACTACTCACTCAGAGAGTCATAGACTCACACAGAGAGCCATAGACTACTCACACAGAGAATCATAGACTCACACAGAGAGCCATAGACTACTCACACAGAGAGTCACAGACTCACACAGAGAGTCATAGACTCACACAAAGAGTCATCTCACCCCCCCCCATCACTCTCACCACCCACTCTGTCCACCTAGCATCAATATAGCAGGCATCATCATCAACACAGCAGGCATCGTCATGATCATAGCAGGCATCGTCATGATCACAGCAGGCATCAACAACATAGCAGGCATCGTCATCATCAACAACACAGTAGGCATCGTCATGATCATAGCAGGCATCGTCATGATCACAGCAGGCATCGTCATGATCATAGCAGGCATCGTCATCATCATAGCAGGCATCATCATCAACACAGCAGGCATCGTCATGATCATAGCAGGCATCGTCATGATCACAGCAGGCATCGTCATGATCATAGCAGGCATCGTCATCAACACAGCAGGCATCGTCATGATCATAGCAGGCATCATCAACAACACAGCAGGCATCGTCATCATCAACATAGCAGGCATCGTCATGATCACAGCAGGCATCAACAACACAGCAGGCATCGTCATGATCATAGCAGGCATCATCATCAACACAGCAGGCATCGTCATGATCATAGCAGATATCGTCATCATCATAG